AAAAATTCAACAATACACCGGTAACGGTATCCCCCCATTTCCCCCCCCCCCCCCCCCCCCCCCCCGCCTACCCTCGACCGCCCCCCAACCGCCCATCCCCGCCACCCGCGCACCGCTTCCACGATGGAGCAAGCCACCGCCGCGATGGACAAGGTGCCGGTGCCGCCGCGGTCGCCGGCGTCCGACGCGGTGACGCCGAGCGCGGAGACCACGCCGCTAATCTCGCCCGCGCCTCCGCTGGCAGACCACCCCGGCGCGCCCGACAGCGCGCCCAGCGACGCCGGCATCTTCGACCGCTTCCTGACCCGCGTGCACGCCTTCTTCTCGCGCTTCTGCCACTCGCTCGGCGCCTTCTTCCTGCGCGCACTGTCGACGCTCATGCTGCTCGCGGGCGTGGTCGCCTCCGTCGTCGTGCAGATGCTCGCCTACTACTACACGGGCGTGCTCAACCCGTGGGTCTTCCTCGCCTGCCTGCTGTTCGCCCCGACGCTCGCCGCCGTCACCGTCATCCGCGCAGAGCTCAACTTCAGCGGCCCCAGCCGCTCGGGCGCCGGCCCTCGCATGAGCCAGTACGTCACGCTCGCCTACCTCGTCATCACCGTGTTCGCCGTCGCCAGCCTGATGCAGCCCGTCGTCATGCACGGCGAGAACAAGATCCCGGGCAAGAGCATGTGGACCGCCTTGGGGGGAGTCGCCCTGTTCTACTACTCCATGCTCGTGTCCGAAGTGCTGTACGCCGTGGCTCTCAATATCGACCGTGCCAAGGAGCGCGATGACGAGCTGCTCCGCCGCGACCGCGACGACCCGTTCTGGCTGTCGTCATACAACGCGACGCGGCAGGCGTGAGCAAAAGCCGACGCTCTCTCTCTCTCTCTCTCTCTCTCTCTCTCTCTCTCTCTCTCTCTCTCTCTCTCTCTTTCTCTCTCTTGTGCGTCCGGCCCGGTTTTTTTTACAAACAGAATAACAGAGTTATCGCCTAGTCCATAAAGTCCTCCGGGCTGAGCCGGTCCAGGAAGCGCGGCTGCACGCCGCTGCCCGCGCAGTTGAAGCACTTGATGAGGGCCTTACCGTCGCAGTACGAGCACGTCTTGGCGGGGTCGAGCGGGTCCTTACCGGACGCGTTGCACACGTTGCACGGCGTGGTCGTCTCGCCGCGGCACTCGGTGCACGGCTGCGCGTTCTGCCGCGCGGAGGTGCGCTTGCCCTGCGTCTCCGTCCACGCCACGAGCCCGATGCCGCCGTCTGT